GGCCTCTCTCCTCCCTCCCCTCGCCAGTCCCCTCTCTCTCTCTCTCTCTCCTCCTCGGCTCCTTCTTCTTCTTCTTCTTCTTCTTCTTCTTCTTCACCTCTTCTGACTCCATCTTCTTCTTCTTCTTCTTCTTCTTCTTCTTCAGATTGGAGACTTATACTAGTGGACAGAGATCAGTGTTGGACTTCGGTGGTATGAGACTGTGGTACTTACCGGATTGGAGACTTGGAGATTGTTGGGCTTGATACCTGGCGCCATCACAGTTCGGACACCGGTCACATTTGGACTCTGTATCTCCGACATTGGTGACTGATTGTCCTCGACATTTTGATCTTGTTGGATGACATTTTGGACTACCATATCGGTGACCTATCGGATTCTATCTCGGTGACCTACCGGTGCTGTCTACCTCCCCCACCTCCTTCGTCTCTCCTCCCACCTCTCATCTGTGTATGTTTGTACGGGATCTGGGCATCGTCCATGCTTGGCCCAGACCCCACCATCTCACGATTGTATGTGTGTGGAGTGATTCTATGTGAGTCAGTCTATGTGAGTCAGTCCGTTCATCAGACTTCCGCTGCATATATGCTCATCCTACATTGGTTGATCTTTGGTTCTGCCCATACTCATTGAAGTATGTAACAGTTTTGGTATCGGAGCGGACCATATAACGGATCTGCTCACAAAGGTAAGTCTGATTAGGAATTAGATTGTTCTTCAATCTTCCGAATCAGCTCTGTATTACCATTGAGTTCAAAGTTGCAAAATTTTTCTTCTTTTTTCGGTATTCTGTTATGTCGGCATTTCCGTTTCAAATCAGTATTCGGACTTATCATTCGGATTTCTGTTTTACGCCGGTATGCTGTTTAATTAGGTTCCGAGAAATTGATACTAATCCAACCTTCTGTTTGATTCGGATTTCTGATTAGGAATTTGTAATTAGGGTTTAATCAGTATTCTTTTTATTTCGGCATTCTGATTTTGATCCTGTATTTCGTTTTTCAATCGGCATTTCCGTTTTATTGCAGTAGTGGAAATTAGGGTTACGAAAATTTTGGTTTTTCGCTCAACTTGGGAAATTCGAACATTTGGGAACCGTAAATCCGGAAATTCCGCCGAAACGCGGAAAATTAGGGTTGGGCCCGAAATTTTCGCGAATTTTTTTTTCTCTCCTTTGTTTTGAGAAATTCCGAAAACGGGTTTAGACCGTTAAAAAATCGGATTTTGACGGTGGAAATTCCCGAAAATTCACGTTTTTGAAAATTCGAGTGTTTTTCCCTGACTTTTTCCAAAAAAAATTTCGGCAAACTAATCCGAAACTGACCCTCAAGTTGCAACTTCCGGGTAGTTCACTAATTAACGGTGAACTCCCGGACTAAAGATGATCTCAACGGATACTTTTTTTTTTTTTTGCAAAAACAGAACCTTATGGTCCCCGCTCCTTATCCATTCTGGGGAGCATCCGTCCGGTTCCTATTCCACCGGCAAGTCAACGGATACCTAATCTTGATACAATTCAAATTTGTTCGTTATCATTATTACAAATATTGCTTATGGATTATCATTACGAAATTTTATTGCAAACATTGTTTTATTGATTATCATTAAGAGTTATTATTTCGTTATTTATCATTAATTCACTTTATTGATTAAATAATTCGATAATTTTATTTCTTATTACGAATTTTTGAATTGTTTACGGGAAATTTATTTTTTCTGTTTTGATTAGGTGTCTACAGTCCATCAGTGGGACAGGGGACTGTATGCGTATTGTTTAATTGTTCTACCCCTATTCCCACTCTCCCTACCCTCCCCGTATTCTGTGACCACCGGGACCTCTCAAGTACCGCATCAGTCCACACTGATGTCGATGGAACAGGATACCGGGGCACTGCCACGGCGCAGTGCCAGGCTCGCAGTTCGTGCTCGACCTACGGTACCTCCACGAACCAAGGCTCAGCAACAGGGACTCAGCAGGCGGACGAATCCAGCGGCATCGAGTACAGCATTGACGGTACCGGACACCACCGGAGTTCTTCCCGCATGCCTGGTCCGAGGGGCCAGTGAGCCGTTGGCTGACTATCTTGGGCAGCTACAGGTATTTACAGATGCCGTAGCTAACGCGAAGGCTCAGCAGGAGGCAGCAGAGGCAGAACGTCAGCGGCTGGCCAATGAGGCGGCAGCCCAAGCTTAGCAGACGGCTGAGGCTGACGCAGCGGCACGGGACCAACGGAATGCCGCCAGTATGGAGTCCCTGATTCATAGTGAGAGTCAGTGGACAACGTTCCTCCAAGGCATGATCTTTGTGCCTTCGGACGCGCAGGCAGATCCGACACCGGCGGAGGCAGAGAGGACTCACCTGGCTAATTTATGTTAGGCATGATGAGAGGAATCATGTGGAATAACACACTGCTGCAGGCACATCTGCGCACGGAACGACAGCAACGACAAAAGTACCAGCAAGACATTGCTGTTTTAACAACTGCCATCCGCGCCGAAGCAACACAGCAGCAGCAACAGCATCAACTGTTGAACTCCGCTCTCGCACGCATCAACAGCATTGAGGCTAACGCCTCAGCAGCGCCAGGCTGCACGACAGACGCGACGAAGCAACTCAATGAGCGCATCGATCACGTCGTCACCATCATCGGCGACATAGGTGTTTTCAATGGGCCGGACACGATCAGTAGCACGGTGGCCGCTATCAAGACGGACATCGCCAAGCTGCAGACGAGACCGGACGCCGCTACGAAGACTTAAAAGATGCCGCACTTCGACATCAGCAAGTTCGATGACTACAACAAGTCGGACGCCTTGACATGGTGGCAACGTTTCCTCACGGAAGCATCATGCCGCACTGTCCCGGCGGACGACATGATGAAGACGCTCTACTTGCAACTGATTGGAGGAGCGCAGGCATGGATGAACCATCTGGCGGCTACCAACAAATGCACCATCGCCGAACTCCACACGCATATCACGTGGAAAGAGTTCGCGAAGCTATGGCTCACCCGGTTCATGGTTCGCAACGTCGTGAAGGCAGCCATGAACAAGGTGTACTCCTGCTCTCAAGGTAGTATGCCAACTCGAGACTGGACAACTAAGTGGCAGAAGATAGTGACCACACCAGGCTTCGATTTGAGTTTTACCAATCAACGATCCGAGTTCTTCTCGCGATCGTTCGCAGGACTGCGATCGACACTCGGCAACGAGTACGATTACGATTCATTACAGGCCATTCTGGATCGTGCAAACTTGGTCATCCAAACGGATGACAAGGCCGCAAACGAACGGCAGTCCCAGCCTCATTATGTGGCTAAGCATGGCTATCAACGTCCGACACACAACAATGTCGTGATTTCTAAAGAAACAGACGATCTCCACGCTGCAGCAGCATCCTCGAGTGATGGAGGAATTGTAGCAGCGCTCCCGCCGAAGCGTCCCAAGAGAGTTCGGAAGAACAAGGCGACACGAGACGGCATCGACGGGAACTGGGCAGCAACCATGGACGGCTTACAAGATAACCAAGGATGTCTATGACCTTCGTCAAAAGTACGGATACTGCTTTTGGTGCAACGGCGTGACTCATGTGACCTCACAATGCCCCGAAAAGGGCAAGGCACGCGTACCCCGTCCAGCAAACTCGGGAAACTGAGTTACGCAAGGAGAGGGGCGACATCTCTCCTCACTCCGCCGGAACCGGTTGCCTTGCTAGGAATCGATGTCACTACCGGGGAGCATGCGTTAGTCGCTGATTCTCGTGCCACGTACGAGGATTATGCCGCCCAGCTGGTACCACCACTAGACCAGCCAAGCCACGTGCACTTAGATTGCATATGCGCAGCCTGTACACCGTCGGCAAGTGATCCGGTTAGTTCGCCACTGATTTTCGAGGACTCGACGGCGTGGTCAAGACTTGAGGAGCTTGACCCGCTCACAAGAGAGGACTTCGC